ACCGTATTTGACGCGTTTCAAGATTCGATTCAAGATTAGAGAAGGACAGTGGTGCAGTCGCTGTGTAGACTCGGGCAGACCAAAGAATGTGGATTAGGGTATATCGACTAGAGTGTGACCTTATTGGCGTTATGGCGCGACGGAAAACATCCAGGGAGCAAAAAGAACGGGTTGCACAGCCAAACAGGATTAGTGGAGAGCGAACCCCAAACGACCGAGGGCTGGTCGAGGACGATGGGAAACGCAGGGAAAGGAAACCCACCTGGTTCAGCGCTCGAGCCGCCTTAATAGACGCAGAGCAACCATGAGGCACCGAAGATCGAGGCGCGAGAACAGTCCGTCGTCTCCGACGCCCAGCTTCTGCTAGCAACCGTTGTATCTTGGATTAATTGCGGTTCCGGCCCAGTCGAGGTCCGCCGAAGTGGTAACAGCAACGACATATGACGCACTACGTACGTGCATACCAACGCTAACAATGTTCAAGGCATGGTCCTGCTCATCGAGCAGCTCAACGGGCACGGATGTTATGCAGATCGGGCGAGTCTGAAGCAGCATCGGGCCTTTCCAATCATGGTTGTGGGTAGGGAACACGAGGCGAGCCACAGTCAACGCCCCTGGACGCCCGAAGCGTCAGAGTTTTCGAAGCCGGAGCTCGCCGGCTCGGCCGGAGATGTGGCTGTGCCACGCCGTTTTCAACCAAGCAACCGTGTCCCGCGCCCTGCATTTGGTTACATGTTGGTTCGTCCCCCTCCGCCATGTACACGAACATCAGAATGTTTTCCATTGTGCACAATTGCCCGTTTACTACCTCCGATAATGAACTGGGAATGATAACGTGTACAACATCTGTATCGAGTTCTGAGCACGCGCTGAATCAAGCGCGTTACTGTCGGCCGGTGTTCGTGCAGGTTGCGAGTATCCTTTGTTCGGGGCGGTCTACATTGACATCCGGGACAGGCGGCAGCTGCCGTGCACTAAGTACGACGTCAATTGAGAGCACCCGAGGAACTACTCCATAAATCAAATGCATATATTGAGCCCCTTTACGACGGGCTCGCTATCGACTCTGGGGCCTTCGGCTGAGATCTCGGGATGATAAATTCAGATCTTGCGCACGCCAATACGAACGGCTCAACGAACCTTGAACTGAGGCAATTCATGCACTACACATAATTTCGGACTGTCCCGTCGCAGCGTCGAATTTGCCTGCGCAACGGTGTGACGGAAAGCAACCATAGAAACGTCGATTCCGCCCATATACTCAGCGGCAACCAGGTCGTTGAGATCAAATAGCTTATTTCTCACTAGATCACTGCGCATCGCAGCACTGGTACGCGAGGTTGAATCCTCAACACGCGTATACCAGCAGGCGTTGTCCGGACCCGAGTCCATTTCCGAGTCCATTTCCACATAGTACCTCCACAGCAAAGTGGGGCCGCGCCCACAACTGCTTCTGCAAGGCCACGCATAGGCCATGAGTGAGTAGACCTTGGGAACGTCGCTCCGTACATATACACAGCATCTGCACATGAAGGTCCAAGCCACGAGAACTTGCGCGCCTGCTGGACGTAGTAGGCCAAGGTCAGATAGACTGCCCATTCTAGTTAATTCGCGGGAATTGAGCGCCGATATAGCGCGCACGCTAGGTACAATAAAGGTATACAAGTTGACATCAGAGGAGAAGGAAGTGGACGCTTGAGTGGGAGAACGTATGGCAACAGCTGACACTCGAGGGAACAACACTCTACCGGCGGAGGATACAGGCAAGAAGTCCGCTTGAATCGCAGACCAAGGGGATGGCCGTGGCGTCGTCTGCATACGATACGACCGCTTTGCGTGTCGCAAGTTGATTATCGAGACCCATCTTGCCCGTAGCCTTGTGGTCAAGAGCTGCGCGTAGCGGGTTATGAGCGAAAGGCTATATACGACTCGGATGACGCGGCGATAACCAGAACATCGCAGTGCGGTACTTTTGGTTGCACCTTGAGAGCGTAGAGACCATAACTGGGAGTTGGGCGGCCGATCGGACCATGCAGATCATGCCCAAGATCTCCGCGAGCGCAGGCAAAGCCCAATGCGGCACTGGGGTCTGGTAAGTAGCGCTGGCGCTCAGGGCTCAGCGCCGGCAATGGTCAATACGTAGCAACAATCTTGTAAGTCGTAATTGTCAATTGACCAAAGGAGCCGAGGCCTTCGGGAACATCAAGATCCACTCTCGAGACCATCATCGATGAAGCCCGAAGAGTGAACGTCCCCCAGCATCCCGGCAGTAACGAAGGTGAACATGACAGAGTGCGAGTATTCCGGGCGCTCCGTGTATTGCAGAAAGGCAGCTGTTTATCGGCAACATTAACTACCCGGTCGTTCTGATATGCGATGCTCAGCTAGGCTTACCCACGAAAGAAGTCCAAAATGGATAGAATGATGATGGTACTATAACGCGGACTGACATCCGTCGCTCGTAAGCAGAGTACATGCCTTGAGTGCGTGAAGGTAGAACACACGAGTGAAGGGCGTGCACAAGCTCAGCTTAGACGTGTTACTGTAGCCTCACTACGGGATGACCCAATACTTTGGCACCTGCCTTGTTCAATGCGAGATCTCAACGCTAGTTTCTTCTCCGAAGGCGCATGCAGTCCCCGATGGAGATCGCACACGACTGACGATTGCGATGTAAGGTGACGGGCGCAAAGGATGGGCACATCAGTTTCGTCAAGAGAGTTTAGATACAGTACTCCTCGAGCAAAGATTACTCCCACGTAACACCGCATTGACATGGAGCTTGGCTATTTGAAATATCCCTGCCAGAAATGGTCAGGTACTACCTCGGAACTCTACAAAGAGCCGGGGCGTACCATCAAACATGAGCGTGCCAGGCGGCTGCCCTACAATTGTACGGTGAAGATGTGCACGATCTGCGGGGCGCGAATGATGACTTGGCCATCGAAGATCTCGGTGGCGTTCGTCTCCATACGATCTGTTCCCTGACAGAGCGCTTGCAGGGAAGATATTCTTCATTAGCGTAGTCATCACTTAAATGAATGTGATGCAATAGTTCAATGCTCACCAACGGCTTTGCGGTGAAGTCGGAAGTGTGCTAGAGAGCCCTTCCTGTGAGCAAGGCAAGCGCAAAGGCACGCTAATCATAGTCATGCGATAGCTCGAAGAGTATATGACGACGAGTAGCGAGAGCGCATTCCCATACTCGCCTTTAAATGAAGCGAGAGTCGGATTAGCTCGAAAGACGGCCTACGATTCGCCTTGCCGAACGTGAGGCATCTTGATTATGGGGCAACATGCACGTTCCAGGGTATATTGATTGTGAAGTGCATGTCTGGAGCACCGTACCCCATGCATCGCAGGATCTAGCAAGTAGCTAGACCTGTCTGGAATGCGTGAATAACGTACTTGCGTTATGCAAGCACTCCATCCCCGTATGTCTTCGGGGAGATACGGAACCCGTTGCAACGACGACGAACACATTTGGAGCCCGATATGAAGGCACCGGGAAGCCCCAGAGCTCGGCAAGAAAAGGTCTTCGAGCACGGCCTCAGAAGCTGCGACCTACGGCTGGCGCCAGGAAGCAGAGCTTGACTACGGGGCTGCCCGTGAATGACCGCTCGAAGCATCGTAGACAATACAGGCTTACGAGACGAGAAACAGCAGTGCTTCTCTCTTCGAGCCCGGAAGGTGACGAGACCTATCTTTTTATACATACTCTCAGCGTCAGATAACCTGCAAAGCAAGGGATGATCAAACGGGTAAAGAAGGCAGCACCGTACGGACTCGGAGTTGAACTTCCCGAGCATGAACGGAACAGAGGCGTTCACAGGTGACATCTTGGGCATCTCTCACCCGTTCGAAGAAGACGTTGACATCGTCTCGGGCCCGACTGCAGCTGAGACGTTGAGTGTGAAGAACTGACTAGCTTGAAGACAGTCGTGGTTGTGGTCAACAATGGTCATAACGAAGCAAGAACGGCCGAGATGCCCGGAAGCCGGCAACCGACCGGTCGCATTCGGGCCGGTCGCCCACGCGGGTGACGGCCGCTCCCGGATGAGCGAATGCCGCTCGGGCGCGCACGACGAGCAGCTCTGCACGGTTCGTCGCTTTTCTCCTACGTCCACCTCACGACTATCTGACAATGATTGAAATGCTTTTGAAGAACTTCTGCGTCTGTCTTTTTGGCGTGAAAGAGCGTTAAACGATGTCAATCGACCCGCGCCTGCTGCATGGTGGCCTCGACGCCGACGTCGACATCGACTCTCCTGTTGCTGAAAATGATCTTAACCTACATACGGAGTCTGCGCCTGAACCCGGTCCATCAAAGCTGACTTTGAAGATACCGAGTCTTAAGGCCCTCAGAGAAGCGAAGAAGTCAGGCTCCCGATCAGGAATTGGCTCGCCCATAAATTCGAGCAAAGCGCCGCGCCCGCAGAAGTTGAAGCCATTGAAGGAAGTCTTGATGGGATTGATCACCAAGATCAAAAAGTACGCTTCAGCCTACATGTCTGCAACGATAGTGAATGTTGTGCGATAAAGGGGCAAAAGGACCAGCGCTGATTTAAGGCTGTGTACAGGAAAGACGATTATGCATTCTTCCTCGCCCCGGTAGACGTCGCAGCTGTACCTGGCTATACAGACGTCGTCAAGCAGCCTATGGACTTTGGTACCATGACCACAAAGGTTGCTCGAGGGCGTTATCGGTTACTTGAGGATTTCGCTGTATGGCGTCTACTATTCTTCATCTGCTCCTCATACTGACGCCTACCACAGGCTGACTTTCGGCTAGTCCTCGCCAACGCGAAGGCCTTCAATCCGCCGGGATCTATCTACTATACTGAAGCTGAGCGCATCGAGTCTTGGGGCACTGAGGCCATCGACAAGGCTTCTGCACAGGTAAGCATTAGTTCCGGATACCGCCCTATCTTTTGTCGCAGCGCGACCGTCAGCCTATTCCCCTTCTCTCTCCAATCTCATCCTATCATGTCAACCCTCAGACAACATGCTAACGGCTATATGATAGGTCATACAGAGCGACGCAAATTGGTCCATAGACATCGACGGTTCCGATCACGCTATGACAGACGAAGACGACGAAACCCTACAGAGTCCAGCCGTAGGAGCGAGGGATCGGTTGCGTAGCGTGAGCGTGAGCGGCGATGCTACAGCTAGTCATGGTCTGAAGCGACGCGCGGCGGTCGCCGCTGCAGAGGCGTTGGCCACCGAGGAGAAGGAAAAAGAGGCAAGAGGGCGAGGGCATCACGATAAGGAGAAGAAGGGCGCAAATGGCGCTCTGAGCGAGAGTTTGGAGGAGGGCGGACACCTGCCTGGTTTCGAGTATGGTGTTGGTCACTTTCCGGCGGGTTCGGACTGGGCAGAAACCATGCTAGCACTCAAGATCAAAGGTATGGTGCTTGTTCAAGTGCCCAGATCATCCACATCTCACGCATTCGATACAGGGAAACGGTATAGAACGAAGAAAGAACGTTTGGCTCGCGAGCGCGACGGTCCACCCATTGCCCCGGATGGCAGTATTGACTACGCTGAGCTCGAGGATCCGTTTACATACCTATCTGCACTCCTACCCGCGCCCTTCACGGCCCCTGTCCTCAGCCCTCTTTACCCGCCGTCAACCGATGAAGGTGTACATACTCTCCCACCACCAGTAACTGCACCACCACTATCGGCCGCCGAAATCCCTACGCCCACAGCATCGACGACGAAAAGTCGACACAAACACTGGACGCTTACGCGCACTGGTCCTTCGCGGAAACGCGATATAGCCGACGAGACTGTTGCGGTACCACAACCAGAGCCTCAGGACCAGCCAAGACCTCTGCAAGCGACCGACTTCGGGGCCTACGCACATGGACCTCTAGCGCGCGAGTTGTTGCGCGTGCGCCCAATGAGTGAGGGTCAGCTTCTTGATCATCTTGGCGTGACTTTACGACCGTCTGGGATCAAACCCGAGAAAGAGTTGGATAAGGGAGACGTCCAGACAGGGGGTGGCGAAGAAGCGGGAGAGCAGGCCTACTTCACGCGCGATCGCGCTCGCGCTGCTGAAGCCTACCTTGACGAGGTTCTCTACGGCGGCCCGACAGGGCTTGCGTATCTTCAAAGCATCGCGCGCTTTGTGACCCCGCCCACTCCTGCGTCCAGCGCCGTCGCGGCTTCCACCGCACAGTCAACCAAGGATGTGCAGCTGGACGACAAAACAACAGTGAAGAAGGATGCGGATAGGATGGACATCGATTCTTCGTCGGAGCCTTCATCGTCGATACTCCCCCTCGGCACGACCTTGGCAGCATATACAGAGGCACAGTCTGCAGATCGAATCACAGGCGGCGCTCATCGCCTACTCATGCTTCTCGCACACCATCTAGCATCTGGCCCACACCCACGACCGATCTGTCCTGCGCCTGAACCAAGACTAGAGAGGCCCATCTTTCCATTCAGCCAGCAAACAACGCCTACGCTCTTAGGAAAGTTTGCTCATGCGAGTGCGAACGTACTACCGACGCTTTGGTCCGCCTTTCGCGAGCTCGATAATAGCGCGCCCCTTGATCTGGCCGGTCTGATCAAAGACGCAAAAGAGCTTTTCCTTGCCGAGGAGGTGTGGGCGGGTCGTACTGCTGGCACGAACGGAGATACGGCGATAGCTGGAGGAGACGCCGAAGCGCTCTTCCGCGCGATGAAGCATGTCGGCGCGTTGTTGGGCAAAGTGGCAGAGCGCCAGGCAGCTGGTGATTTACCCGCAGCGAAGTCAGCTCCTGTTGCAGGCGTCAAGGTGGCTACGGAAGACACGAAGGCTGAAGTTGAAGTGGTCAAGAAGGAGGATGGCGATGGAGACGTCGTCATGCGTGGAGAAGAGGAAGAAGAGGGCTCCGACGCCGAACGCGGACGGGCGTTGTCTGCCACTGCCACTGCCTCCGGCCAAGCGTCTTCCTCCGTGTCGGTCTCAGCTAAGGCGCCAGACTCGAGTGCTGCGAATGTGGATACGACATCACAGCCTGTAACGGACGACGAAGACGCCCTACTTCGCGAGGCCCGGCTGAACTTGATTGCGCTTGCAAAGCGTGCCCCGTTGGATCGAATAGGGCCTATGCCACCACATCTCGTCGCGCTAGTCCCCGCACACCTGCGTTCGGGTATACCGACGAAGCGACCCTAGACAGTAACCTACTTAAGAACCGGTGGCTGCCAATAATGGCCTTCACGGCCAGTGGCAGTAGACATGAATGTGATGATGTATTCTAGGTGTACAATTGCTGTAGAGACGATACAAATATGCGTGCAGATGCGTGAGGTCGTGAGCCAGGAATGTACTGTACTGTCAACAGCAGAGTCAGTTGCGGGGATGGTGTTGGTGTGATTGGATGGGGTGGGGTGGGGTGGGGTAAATAATGAGAGAGAACGGATGGCACAAAGCGAGGCGGTCTATGGATGGCATGCAGGTACGATCAGGACAATGTGTGCAAATAGAGAAGCAGAAGTCTGGTGAAGCGAACATGAAAGTTGGAGTGAGAACGGGATGAACGGTTGCTGGACCACTACTTTGCATCGGTAGAAATCAGCGTGAGTACAATATGGCAGCTGGTCATCGGCTGCGCGACTTCGAGCGGCGCCGCTGCTTCTCGCGAGCGTGTTCGCGTCGCCTCGCAGCCCACTCGGGACCATAAGCGCGTGCGAGTGCATCCTGTCAAGAGACACATTAGCATGCGAGTGGAATGACAGGTAGAGACAGTAAGGGAGTGGATGTCCTCGTTGCACGTATAGAGACCGCGTCGCTGAGGGGTGCAGGGCGCGTTCGCGAAGCAGATGGGAGACACGAACGAGGTACAAGAGCCAACGATCCGCGTGAAAGTGTCCAACGACCGGAGGTTCGTGAGTGCTCCAGGGCGCCGAAGATGGAGCAAACACTACACTAGAGTTCCAGAATCCCGCGCAGAACGAGGTGCCACAGATGTCGCTCGACGGTGCATGGGGCGGACAAGTGCAGAACCGTATGCACGCACCTCTATCCTGTCGCTGAGCTCCGCTCGCGCAGGTGCTGGATAGCGATCGTACCCCATGGGCCAGCACGCAGTCGTTATCCATTGTTCGAGATGGCTAGGCGTGAACGAACGTTGCTTCTTCCAGTAGAGCATCCGCAGAAGGGCGCAGCTGCGAAGCAAGGTCAGTAGGTGGACCTCAGAGGTAGACTGTGGAGATGAACGGGAGTGGAGAAGACGTACACATCATCCGGGTCGTGCTTCGCATATCGCACAAACTTCAGCGCAAGTGCCCATGCCCAATCAACGGCTACGAGTCGCAGCCCGGGAGCTGCGAACACTTCGCGTTCGTCCGTGTCCGTTGACAGCGTGGTGGAGGATGTGGCAATGGGGTCGTACGTGCGCTGCATGTTGCTGTGAACGCGATAACAGTCAGAAGCGGGTTCTGTCACGGGCAAATAATCCTTCACGTACTCGCTGGCCAGCGGAAGCGCTACGTCGGGCCCAGAGTTACACCTGAATATGGTGAGTCTTCTGCCGACTAGTTGGACGCGAGCGAAAGGAACGGACCAGTCGGCGCCCAGACCGCATCTCTGCGCCGTCTCTCGTATCGCATTGCGGAGCACGTCTCCCGCGCGTCCACCGCATGCCGCACGGTAATCGTTCTCAAATGCTCTGTAAACCGGTAAGTTTGACTCTTTGCAGGGTTATGATAGGGTTGCGGGTGCGAGGAGACCTGTAAGATGAATGGAAGTCTTCTGCGTACCTGTGGACGTAGTCGACATCCCGCGTCTCCCTTCTGTGGCGCAGATCCTTGTGGAGCACCGCAACAACGCCACCGTGTACAAGCAATCGGACCTGGTGCCCGAAATGAGGCAGGAGGAGATCGGAGAGCGTATTCAAAGCGTGTGTGAGCGACGTAGGCGTCAGTGGCACTTCGTTTGTCGCTGGGATCGCCGGACTGTTGGGATAAGGGGCGGAGAGAGGAACTGTCGGTTGTGGGTGCGCGACGGATACGATGTTGTTTGTCGAAGCAGGAATCGGCGGGAGTGGGATCAAGAGTGGTGGAGGGACGTCGCGTAGAGGATGTGCACTAGCGGGTGGCGACTGTACCGCGAGCTTGCCGACAGGTGGTATTGGTAGAGGATGAGTCTTTGATGAATGGTGCAGGGCAGACATCGATGATGCGTGGGCCATGACGGGAGCCCGGTGCGACAAGCGCCGTACACCGTCATCTGGCACGCGCGGCGTTGGCACAGGTATGACTTGCGATGTATGAAGGTGCGCAGAAGCAGGAGAGTGGTGCGCGGGCAAAGGGTGAATGGGTGATGATGCAGTATGGGATGCGGGTAGGACGTGCGCTGGCAAAGCACGGGCTGGCAGTGGGTGTATGACCTGGGGTTGAGGCTTCGGGTGTAAGACTATTACCCCTGAAGAGCGTTGAGTCTGCGCCTGTGCAGGGTGGAATGGGATGGGCGTTGGCGCCGGTAGTGTCGCCGAACGCGACACCGGCAGCGCACGGGGTGCCATTGGCATTGGCAACGCCCCAAAAGGCTGCGACTGGCCAAAATGCGAGTGCGGAATAGTAGGCGTGGCAAGCATCGTGTGTGGCACGCGGCGTGCGTTCGACGTTCGAGGCTTTCAACCAAAGCAGTGGTGGCCCGAGACAAAAGGGGCGGCGTAGACGCGGAGGGCGCCGGGTATGGCAGAGGCGCGATTCACGCCGAGCCGACAAATGCGACGGGAGGGAGTTGAGAGAACGACAACAAGGAAAGAACGAAAGCGGGACAAGGACTATAAGAAGGGCACGCAGCTGGGCACGCGGTGTTCTATAAGATTAGGCGCCTGATCGCCGTCCATTACTCTTAGTTGAGTAAGTCTGTGCCCGCCGTGCCCGTATCCTTACACACGAGTGGCGCGACATTTGTGGCACTTCAAGAGGCGGTCTTCGAGCAGAAGGTCTCTTCGCGTGGAGGCCGAACAGCGGCGCACAGCGGCGCCATCACCGTGCAAGAGGCGGAGGCGCGCAAGCGCAAACAAAGCATCGCGTAATCGCGACTGTGCTACGATACACGCGTACGCCAGCCGGCTGTCCATCGACACATGTCCATACAATCTTATCATTCAACGGTCAACACTAGAACGTAGCCTTGCGTCCAACGGTACTGTGAGACAAAGGAAAGACTGTGAACCTCGTTCTAGCGGTGCCCCATACCCTGAGGCGGTGTTACTTTGCCTAGACCAGCAGAACAGTAGCCACAAGAGGTGCGCCCGCAGGAATCGTGCGCCGTGGCACCATATGCCCCTCTCGCGCCCCTTGACCTAAAGGGTGGATGTAGCGGCGTACGTAGAACGTCTACACCTCTGTTGTCATACGACTGTAGCCGCCGCCGGAGAATTGTCTGTGTTCGGACACTGATAGAAACGCGTCCGAAGCAAAGGTTCCCCTGATACGTCTAGGCCGGTAGCTCTTGAGAGTCTTGAGAGAGATGTAGAATCGGCCGATGGACGCTCTAGTCAAACGAAGACCAACGAGTGCCGCTCGAAGGAGCGGATGAAGCGGAGAGGCCCTGCACGCTCACGTGAGTTTCGCAGACTCGGAGGCCATGTATGCGATCGTCCAGCGGACATGCGTGAATACAGCAGTGGGCACGGGCATGATCTAAGAGAAGCTGAGAACAGACTATGATGCATGAAGACGCACGTTCTACATAGGACTCGACTGCTGCCTGTACGTTCACTGGGAATCATGATGCACGCGTCGCATAATACTTTGCCACGAGGATACGTATTCTGGCTAATTTAAGGCTGCTGAACCGCCTTTCAGACCTCACAACAGCTCTTTCCTTTGTTCTATGAGCACACTATGGAATATGTAGGTCTTGGACTGCCCTCTGCCTCTGGTCTAATAGTGATGCCCTGTAATGGACAGCCCGTCCAGAGCATCATCGAAGGTCTAGACCTAGGCTCTAATGAAAGCTCAAGGGCTCACCGCGTATGCATGTCCAGAGCCCCTGAGACATGCTAAAGAGAGGTAGCGCTTGATGCTTTGCATGCCCTGCGCGGTCTGTTGTACTGTGTATGCGAATGCCAATACATGGAGTAGACTGTGCCACGGTCCGGCCATCCAGTGCCATGTAAATCGGTCACGCCATATGGCCGAGAGACCTCGTACCCAGATGCTGTGCTACGGCGCCTATGGCTCGTATACCCGCAAGCGCACGAGTGCCTCTCTTTGATAAACAGCGCTGTCGCCTCGCGTCACCCATTGTCGGCGGGCGTGAATGGAGGGAAGCCCATGGCCCACATGCTCATGTCGGCGCGCTTGCAATCTCAGAACACGCCTGGACCTGATGTCAAGATGTTCGCTCTGTAGCCCGATGCTGTGCGCGCACCGATGCCTTCCACGCTACCAAGGTCGTCATGGTCTTCGCTAAGGGTGAGCGGGTCATTTCCTCGGCAATCTACTGCCCGCGTATGGCCCAATGATGCGACGACCACGGATGTGTGTCGAGTCAGAACAGGCGATGTGTAGAGTTCAGCCGGGCTGTACTGTGCATACTATCACCTGCAACAGACAAAGCGTCAAAAGATAGGGCAATCGTTCTGTAAGCTACACGGACATGCATGGACATCCACAGCACGAAGGGAGAGGCGGCGCAAAACCAAATAACATTCCGGAGAAGCGCGGCAACACCTTCCCTAGTCATTCAACAGATAGATATGCACAAGGAGAATGATACAACAAGAAGGAGTGTTCATAGTCGGAACGTCGTGCGACTTGTAACAGGAAGAGGTGTAAAGATCCTTAAGGCCGGCGCGGGCCAGTGGCCTCAGCCGGAACGAAGAGACCCTGAACGTGTACGGCGGCGCTCAGCCCGGCGGCCCAGTCCCACAAAAGACGACGACCGGCTCTACGTGAAACGAAAGGGCTGCGCCGGCACCCGTACGGCCTCCGAGCCATGGCGCGAACCAATTTCGGGCATGCGCAACCCGCGGAGCGCTGGTCCAGTTGCGGGTGTGACGATGTTCAGCGGCATTGACTGATCATGCACAGTCGACTGGAATATCGTTTCTGCATGGGCCATTCACCGTTGACAGAGTTCGTGGTATAGTTGAGCCAGAGACGCCAAGGGCCATCATCGTTGAGAGCGAGTTGGAACGCGTGAAGCCCTGTGAAGCCATCGCGGCGACGGCGAAATGCGGCGGCGCGCGTGGGCGTACGCGTCTTGCCTCCTGACGGCGACGACTGAATGCTCCATACTTCGGCTTCCCTCGCTGTAAACTCTAGTGATGACGATGCAGTATACTGCGGACTTATGCTAGCGTTTCTATACGCAGATGCGGCGTAAACCCATACGACCTTGGCCGGTGCGCGCCGGGTTTCGTTCCGGCACGCACCCTGTTTCTCTATTGCTACACGATCTCTTGACGAGCCTGCATTCACTTCAAGGCGCGAAGTGGCTGAATAGGCGCTCTTACTGCGTAATCCGAATCTTATCAATGGCACACAGTTTGCTGTAGGGCCTGTCATGTAGCACGGTGTCTGTCGAGATGTTCAAACTCGATGTTCGTTCTTCACGGTGATAGACGTGTACGTTGTTGCGATCTCAGACTAGAGGCTTTACTGACACAGCTCTCAGGGTCTTTTGGTGCAATCTCTTGGTGGGAGTGATACTAGGCCGAGCGGCAGCTACTGTCGCGGTTCAAGCACGCACAACTGTAACTATCGTATCTCTATACCATGACTTAAAAGATAGCGGCACATCCGTCTTTGGGGTCGCGGAGTTTTGATGTATGGCTCTGTCGGTATCATCATCCGCCATTCCTCCTTTCGATCTCTTGCCCATACATGTGCTGGCGCGGTAGCCAATAGAAATACTCATTGTCTGCAGGAACGGACAGTCTGCACCGCAGCATGCGAGTGCTACATTGTGCGGAAGAGCATATTACCCTGAGCAAGATTCACGTATCGTCACTCACATGGCGGTTGACCCGGTGCCTCGTACAGGCTCAGCACCGCAGATGATGACTTCGGGATTAGGTAGTGCCTGCATACTTGCCGATCTCGACGCTATCTGATGATCCTTTCATCTCGTAGATGACAATGAGCTCGCTCCTACCACCAATGAGTACCACAAGCCTTCCGACGTCGATGGCGTCGTTGCTTTTGTTGTGTACTTTCATCTCCGACCATGACCCCAGGCGTTATCTCAGGCTCTCCATGCCGTGTTGATGATAATCGATAAGGCGCCGCCGCATCGAATCTATCCGGTTATTCCAACCGGTGAGCGCGCGTTCATTCATCTCAGACGCCCTCCTTCTTTTGTTCTGCCTCGATATCCCGCGGACGTCAGCGCCTGATTGCACAAACATTCTGTGGCCCGAGTCGGGAGGCGTCGCGCATCTCGAGACTGATTGGTTGCTTTGCAGGCAGATCCGCGTATACGAGTGTGGAAGGTGCGCCCAAAGCGGGCGTGCGTCGTGATGGTACGTGGACTCGGCTGCGGTCGCCGAGAATGGAGATGCGGATCCTGGCCAAGGGATTGCGGTGTTCCCTTTTCATTGCCAGATACTCTCATCCAGTTGTCCGGCATGCCGGAGTGATTGAAGGATATCGCAGAGACTCTGGATCAGATAGAGACTCTTGAACCAAGTCCGACGAACATCGGCACAGCAGGGCCAGTCTGACACCCCAACGGACAAGAGGACGTCGCATTCCACAAGACCGGCAGTGCGCCCACGAGCGAGAACCCAGTCCAGAGATGTCGCTCGAGGTGTAGTTCCTGACGTGGCGCCTACGATCTACGAACCTTGGCACACTTCGCCGCCCTGTCTTACTTTGTGGACAATAGTATACTCTGCATTCGCATATGATTACAACTTCGGTGGGCCTTCCTGCCAATGAGATATCTCCGCAGCGCTGTATCTCGACCATACGCCTTGTAGCCACTTCGCGAGATGCTGGATTCGCCGCCCTCTGTACACCTTCTTCGAGGCTAACGGTTCATATCGCGACCCTCGATCTGTCATCGATGTCCTGAGCCCCGCGCATAGCCGTGTGCGCTCGCTGTCATGCTAGTGCGAGGGTCATCGGTCTGTTGTGGGTGAGAGCCGTAAACCGGACAATCCGCCATACGGTGAAGAGTGTATGCACAGGCTAGACCTGCCCGTACACTATCCCCATAGAGGCTCAAGAGAGAGCTCGATAGAGCTCTCCAACGCGACCGCCGGTATAGTTGTACATCGTGCCTTCTGGCGCGGAACCTCTTAAGCCGCATCTAGATGCCAGTATCGCCGAGACACTGCTACTGGGCGATGTAGCCCAGTCTAAGGCGGAGCCAGAGTCGATGCCTTGGATGTCGAGCCTAACGTTATCTGTCCATGGCAACGCAGAGCTCCTTCCGAGACCATCTATACCAGGAAACGCCGCGAGTCAAGCACTCCTGAAGTTGATCTCTTCGACGCTGACCTGTCAGGAACCCCTCGCGTTCAGTATGTGGATGTGAGGACCTGGGTCCAGACTTTGGGTTGTACATGGTGATTATAGGTGTTGGTGCTTCGCGCTCCATCTGAGCCCTGCAATACAATCGAGGCGAAATGCACTGTAGCATATAGCGCGATCGATCGTGAACAGTGTACAAATTGGTTCCGTAGGTGAACCTCAACGCATAAGGGAAGGGACGGTCATCTATTGTCGATACGCACCTTGTCTCAGCAAACCTCACGACGACGCAATCGCGCAACAGCGCGCAACGCACATGTTTCTCGTGTAGTCGACCGCTCGCTGTTGCGAATTTTCATCCGTAATCTGTTCAGGGCGGTAAGATTCGTTAGGTACGAGACGTGGCCTTGTCTGGCTACAAACGGGCCGCTTACGGAGGTCGGAGCCTGGGTCTCAAATCGGGGTTAGCCTAAAGTGCCGCATGCCGACACGAAGGCGCTATAGGGTGTGCCATCAGCCTGGGAGCACTGTTCCCGAAACAGCGCACGCAGAAAACCGAGTTGGTTGCAGACATGCCCTTGTCAGCTTTCGCGAAGAGCGAATGGGCATCACCGCGCACCAACAGCCAGCGGTACACTCGGTGAGATCTCTCACAACTCTGGTGACTGCCGCATAGACTCCCCGAGCTCGGAGTATCGCATACGGCAAATGAGTTGTCGAAAGAGTCAGCGCAGCGTCTCCGGTCATCATTCGCTGGACGATCTGAGGCTGGCAGGGCCGAGAGCGCTGTCAAAAGCCGTCTGCACACCCTAAGATCACACGATGAAGCCCTCGAGCTGTCAGACACTACCGTCGTGCACACAGTGAGGCCATTGATACCCGCGTTCGGTCAACCGAAGTGCGATTCAACCGGCGGACTGGGGTTCTCGGACTTGAGCATAAACAAAAATGAGTGAGCGCTTTAGCGTGTCCGACATTGGGAGCGGGACTTCGAAGTTCTCCAAGCTCATCTACCACTGAAGCGAGTCAAGTGGGAGCTCAGAAGTTGGGAAGGCTGCATACATGCGGGTGCGAGTCTGGTACTCTCTGCACATGCGCAGCGAAGCCACGCCACTCGCATCCAAGCGTGGTGCGGGCCGGAGATTGTCTGGCGTCACTGCTTCGGTTAAACGGCGGGTGGTTGGTCCGAGTATTCCGTCCAGAGCACCAACTCAAAGTCTGGGAGGCAGCGGTTCGCCAAGCTGTTATGTCGATGATTGCGCCCGTGGAAAGCGGAGAAAGTTGGATGGCACAGTAGGCTGATATGGAGGAAAGACCGTGACGTCGGCAAGGTGGCGTCCGTCGTGGCATTCGGCGACCACAGGTCAAATATCGCCTAGATGAGTCGGGTTTCAACAATTCAAATAGCAGATTCGTGGTGTACGGTAACCGCACGAAAGGGCGCGCAAGCCCTGACGACAGCTCACGACAGAGTCATGCATCGTGGCCCGTTGTTACCTGCATTTGGTTGGTCCACTTGATACGCGAGGGCCCCAACTTACGAGCGCGCCACAGCTACAAAATGAACACAAAGGACCCATCACAGCGCCACCTCGTGTTTGCCGGGCACTCCGTGTTACAGACTGCGGTCGACCATCTGGAAATATGAGAGCTCCGTGCTTCCGGACTTGAGGCGTGGCTCTGAGAACGGATACTACAAGCACGGCAAACGCCCTTCTGCGACGCTTCTCTCCTCTGAGAACATGATCCCGAGGCGCGGTTGGAGGTTGGAGGAAAAGATGCGGCGGGAGAAACCGAACGTTCGGCGGGGGCGGATCACTGGGATCAACTCCGATG